GTTGTGTTTCGTCCGCTCTGTTTCTCTTCGATATATTTCCAGTTTCGCCGCACTGTGTAGTGTTTTGGGAAAGAATGCAGAACGCGAAAAGCCGATTCGCGAGGCATGAAGTCTTGAAAACGAAATAAAAAATCATTCTCTGCCGCATTTCCTCTCTTTTTCCTTTCCTTTCTCCCCTCGGCGAACCACCCAACGCCGCAATGTTTTGCAAAAAGAAAAATTGAAAATAAAACCAATCGAGATCCCGGAAGGTCGAGTGCTCTCCTCAACCTTGGATTCGCAGCGAGAAGTTTTCGGAAGTGAACTTCAAAATTCAGCACTCCCGACGAAATTTCACGCTTCGCGGCGAGTGGCCGACATTGATAATCCTTGAACGTCAAAAGTTTCGCAATTCGCCGATCTCTCTTCTCTCAAACAACCATCTCGATGGTCCTTGATCAAATGTCTCTGTGTGGCTCTCTCTCTCTTTCTCTCTTCTCCTCTCCCTTTCTCGATTCTGAGAGCGTCTCTGTGATTCTCGGGTAGAGCTACATCGATCGAACATCGTCCTCCGCGCGCAGCTCTTGGAGACCACGTCGTTGAGACTGTCCGCCAGAACTTTCGGACGCTCGTCGAGAACGTGTGTACGCCCTGATAACTTTCGCGTCTCTTCACGCCGTCGTCATCGTCAAAACTCCCGTGTCACGGTGTGTATAGCGTAGCCTCCGCGCAGCGTATCGGACGGACATGTCCGTCCATCGGCGGGCTTACGTAATTGGTAGCAGGTGGCGAACGACGGAAGGTGGTTGGCCCACGCAGACAACCACGAAGAGCACGATCGCGCTGGCGGCGTCGACGGCGGCGGCGTCGGCGACGGCGACGGCGTCGGCATCGTCGTCGTGGTCGTGATCGTCGTTGTCGATGTCGGCGTCTGCGTCTGCGACGGCCGCTATAAATAATCGGGGGAATCCCACGGTGCCAGAAGATATCGGCGTGTTCTCCGACGTGAGCACGAGAGAGAGCGAGAGAGAGAAAAAGAGAGAAAGAGAAATGACGAGAGGGAAGAGAGAGATAGAGACGATGCGCCCGCGAAAATATTCGCGGCTGCGATTCTCGCCTTTCAATCTCGACGTCGTGACTGAACGCGCCCGATCAGCTTTGGTCTTTAATTTATTAAAATATATAATAATCGGGGTTGATCAAAGATATTCTAATTATTTATTTATTTATTTATTTATTTACGGAAGGTTTTCATTGGTACAAAAAACGAATAACACAAATTATCAGAAAAAAAGAAAACAGAATTTAGAATATATTCTCTAAATATTTCTCAGAATGGAGTTCGATGATCCAATGAGAGAACGGTTTTGATTAAATTCCCAGAAATCGAGTTCTCCTATTGATTCTGAAATGCATCGAATAGGACAGTTTAAACTGTGTAGAAACTAAGCCTACATACCAAGCAGATTCATGAATTTTACAACAATGGCAAAGCAACTTTCTTTGTTGCAATACAGCCAATATGGTACGCTTGGTTTGCAGTACAATTGGTTATAGATATATAAAAATGACATCTCTCAAAATAACGCTCTCCTAATTCAAAATACATTCTTTCCTTCAAATCTCACAAATATCACACTCTGTATTGCTACTTCGGCTCTCGTCATGATCGACTACTGCATGTACACGTCAGAGGTGGCTTGCATTTCTGACAGCTTAAAGTAACTTGTTCAACGAAAAGTGCGCAAACCGTTTAAAGCGTACTTAGTGTACACGAGCAAAGTGAGTAGATGTGAGCCGAATGGCCCGAAGCACTGTAACTTTCTCTTTACCGCGAATTAGTCCTTTGCTTAAATTAAATTAACAGTACACGCTTCCTCCAAATATTCTTACTTCGAGTGCTCATCTCGCACAGGATCTCACCCTGAGAAATTTACACTGAGAGAAAAAATAATTGGAATAACTATAATCTCACTATATTTTATAGTTTATTTTGGCCTCAAACATATATTTATAGTTCATCTAAACATGAAGATATAGCAGAATGAACACAGATTTATAGTCACCATTTTATTACTCTATGTGTATAGTAAAGCACACTTTGGGAATATAGTTACATGTACCTATATTTGCCAAATATTCCAATTGTATTGACTATATAAAATAGTTAATTTCTCTTACCATTCAATATTTGCTACCTTACTATACTTTTTATTTCAAATAATTATAATTCTTGGTAAAAGTTTTACATACGTCAATTATACTATGCTTATATTGTAAATATTACAAACATTATGATGATATTTACTAATAATATAAAAATAATATTCCTAACTATAATCTTTTTACTATGCCATTATAGTTCCAAATATCATACATTTTTCCTTCAGTGTACTTTCGCAAGAGCGCGAGAATCAATATTCGATACGCGCTAACACAGAACGTATTTGCGCGAAGATGTAAATAACGAGCGCGCGGATCTCGGGGAATTCTCCTTGTCGTATAGTCGATGATTAATAGATACAGCGGCGCCGGTTTTTCATCGAAAGCGAACTTAATTGATTTCTCCTGTACGCCCACGAGAACATTGTCGCGAGCCACGCGTGTACCGTGCACGCTTCGTCGAGCCGCGCTCGTGTGCCGATCGATATCTATCCACGGTTGACAGAACTCGGCGTCGAGTCCTTATTATCCAAAGTTTGGATCAAGCTGCAGCAAGCGGGCAAGCTCGATTCCGTTCGTTCGTCCATTCGCCAGCCCGCTAACTCGCTCTAGCTCGTCGAAACGTCCCGTCCATCGATCGGAGAGGCGAAGAGCGACGCGTCGGCGAACATTGTGACGTTGGCGTTGGCGGAGTGCTCCGGCTTTTCTACGATTGTATTCTTCGACGTGTAGAGGGTGGGAAAAGACGACCCAGATCGCTCGGAGTGACGCCGCGGAGATAGACGGTCGCTACCGCCCTCCGTCGCGTCAGCCTGCTTTTCTATCACGTATATCAGCGACAGACGCAGTTATCTTTAACGATTTACAGCCGCACCCGCGTCGTCGATGCTTCCTCGGACTCGGCTGCCCGTCCTTCACCCTGTGATCTCTTACTGTCTTCCTGTCTTTCTCTCTCGTCGCGGTTTTCGTCGCCAGTGAGCTTTTTATCAGGGTGTAAAAAAAATTGTCGAGAAGAAGCGCTTCCATTTGCGCAATTGCATCGTGTTTTATCGTCCAGAGACGTTATCGGAGCAATTTCTGCTAACACATCAACACACACTCGCTTGTAGTAGCGAACTCTCGTACCCATTCGACCAAGAACGATAGATAATGGACGACTGGATGGCTTTCCAATTTGAGAGATAACAGGTGCGCTTTTGTTTCTCTCAACGCTGCCGCAATAAACGAGGTTTAAATTCGCGTGTGAAGTGTTCGCAATTAATGCGAGCTTTCTCTGTATACTCTGTATACATGCTCCGTTATATCGGAGCCAAAATATTTGACTGATCTGAGACAAATCAAAATTTGGCTATTATAATTTTATATTTTATTTTATTTTGACTTCATCATTTTAATCGCAATGCGTTACATATCAAGGTAGATTCGAATCTCGAAGTTTCCTCCGGGTCGAGTTGATACAACAGAACTATCAAGTATGGAAACGGTAAACTGATTTACAGCGGTTGGATGCTCGATTATTTAAATACACGGTCGTCATTAAATCTCCCGCGGATTATTCCACGACGGCGGTAATCTCCCGCGGGACGCGCAATTTGTAACCAAATATCCATCGCGCACCGTTTCTAATTTAAATCCCGATGCTAATTCGATTCGAATTGCAACCCAGCTCTCTCTCCCCCCCCCCCTTCCCCTCCTCCAACTAATATCTGCTTTCGGTTATTTGCCCGGCCAGACGTCAGTTCGTCTCGGCGATAGGGAGTATAACAAGGACCTAGTCGCTTTACTACGCCGCACCTTTTGACTTGTGCGACTTCCCCGCCGCCTTTCCTCGACATTGATCAATGCCTATTTATGTACACGTAAGTCACCTACGTGCGGTCGCGCGTAAGTGACATTGACTGAGCGCGTACGAATGATACGGTTTCGATTATACGCCGCGCCACAAATATCGCGTGAACGCGCGCTGAGAGAAAAAGATGGCTGATCTAAGTAAATCATAGAGTTATCTTTGGCTCCAATCATATTTTTCTGTAATGGAATACGTAGTGGTGATAGTAACATTATATAAGCATATATAGCTATAATCACTGACTGATATTACAGAATTTAATAAAAAGCTTACTTGGACCACATAATTTATAGTAATTATTTCCCTGTATGATTATACAAATAGCAAACATTTTTCTCTCAGTGCGTGCGCCTCCGCATCGCGTGCATTTTGTAAGCGCGCCCTTGAGCGAAATGTATTATTAGATAGTCGCACGTGAAATATCGCACGTGTCGCCCTCGCGGGCGTCGCTTTTTCTTAAGATTACTTTCAGCCGCGACACACGTAATAATAATAGGCGACGTCGCGGCGCCTATCACCGAATCGTCCAACGCGAATACACTTTATGCACTCCTCATCTCGATCTTTCTCGTTGCAGACAATTCGGGGGGCCGTGAAGTGTCAGCAGTGGGCAGCAGCGGCATCGTGCTGAAAGGGCGTCTGTCCTGGCTTTCTTCTGGCAGGTGTTAAACTGCGCTGACCTCACCCGAAAAAGGCTTCGCCCGACTGAGCATTATTCCGCCGCTGCACTAACAATCCCGTGTCCAAAGTGGCTAAGAGCGTAAGTCCCCGTCGCGCTCACCAGGAGTGCTCCAGCGGGGTGGAGGTACAGGTGCCGCAGGTGCAGCAGGAGAGACGAACACCGAGGCGCATGCCTTACCTGGGGCCTGACATGACAACCCGGCTGTCCGCCATGTTCTACACGGTCGAGGTCGGGGACACCAAGTTCACCATCCTGAAGCGGTACCAAAATCTCAAGCCCATCGGCTCGGGCGCGCAGGGAATAGTTTGGTGAGTAGCCGCCGCCGCGTCGCGTCATTCCGTGACGATGGTGTTGTAGATTTAATCCCCGCGTCGACGGAGGACAGTTCGAAGGAGAGACACGTGTCGTTTCCGATGGAACGTTGCCGACGCAAAAGAAAGTAACTATCAGCTGAATCGCAGCAGCTGGTTCGAACGAAAGACTGACCGTTTCGCTGTCATTACTAGGGGCCATGGCAAAAACCTAAGCAGTAAGAAAGTCGATCAATCACAGTCGATTATTTTTGAAACGTTAAAAGAATAACCGACTGTGATTGATGAGTTTGCCTACTACATGAAGGCAAATCTATAATAAAAATCATTGGAGAATTTTCTAGCCGACGAATATCGACAGTTCACAATAATTGGCCATTCTTTCATTTTATATGTGTTATTTATATTTCACAAACTGACATGTGTTGTTAAAACATATGAAATGTTTTTAGCAAAATTTACTATATTCCTCAGTAAAATGGACTTACTGACAGTCCGCACAAGAAACAGAAATATGAGCAACGTAAGAAACACAAAGTTACAAAAGTACAAGAAATATAAGAGATAAGAGGGGAAATATAAATCTGTTCAAACTCGGTCAACAATGTCCACGTTTGCTTTGCATTACGTTTTCGTTAAAATTCAAAATGCCACATAACAGTGGTATCTCGCGTATTTCCACGCTCGATCTGTGTATCACTGGAATCGGCAATAATGCCTGGTCGCAATCCGTCGTGCGCAAAGATTCCCAGGCGAATTCAAAGTCGGGTGGAACGTATCGCCGGGTACGGATCTATTTTGAAGAGGGAAGAGGAGAGAGTAAACCGCGATTTCGGGCCGAGCGAACGGTGTCGGATCGATCGATCCCGTGGAAGCAACAGCGGCAGATACCATTCGCTGCGGATGAACGGCACGAGGGCGCCGAGTAAATCGGGCAATTCGCCTCGAAACGAGGGGAAACGTCAGGATTTCGCGGGAGTCGCACGGCAAGAGCGTGGGAGACGAGCGAGGGAGAGGGAGAGAGAACGCAGAACGCCCTTTCCTTGTAAGCCGGCGACGTGATGTTGGAAAAATCGACGACGATTTCAGCCCGTCGTGGTCGCCGTGGTCGTGGTCGTCGTGACATCGAGACTGGATCTGAAAGTCACACAAACGGGTGAATTGGATCTACACTGCACTTCTATTTTTATTTTATAAATGCTCGCGCCTCGGTATACCGCTATTACCGCTATTAACGCATTTAAGCAACGTTTTAAAATAAATTCAATTCATTTTTACGCGAATGGGAATTAAAAGGGGGGATTGGGGTAGCTAAAGTTGCACGCGAAGGTCTATTTAATCCTAGGAAGATGCTACAAGCAACGTTTACTCATGCTGAATAAGGATGTTGACATGATGCTTCGTATTACGTACTGTTTCTCTGTCCACCTCTATAGAATTGCAAATGCTTGTTCTGAAATTTAAAACCATCTATATCTAAAATGTAAAACATGTTTGTATTTACAAAATGTTTTCTTGTTTTTTTATGTAACGTGGAGCATCCACGGACATTTGTATCTTCACTCTGTACAAGCTATTCTGTACAATCGACTAGAAAAACATTGCAAAATACGAAAGTTGCATTATGTCGATAGCCAGCGTCCCCTTAACTCTAGAAAGATGGTGATAATGATGCGATTAAGGTGAGGTTGAGCTGGTTGAGCTTCAACGTGATGTCTCACAAAAAGCAGTGATATCCCAACGGGTGATAAAATAGATATAAGAGCTTAAGGCTTATACTATAAGAGCTTGAGGCTTTCAGTATGAGCAAAGGTTACTCAGGCTACTTTTTTAGTATTAAACGCAATCACCTTTCTGTATTTTAAGGTAGATCTTCTCGGGTTTTCGGTAAAGTACGTTGGACTGTTGTTACACTAAATCCTCAAAGTTGCTCCTTAGATAAACTCGACCTATTTCGCGAGTGGCTAACATCCTTCTTGCCTTTGCTTTAGTTCCCATACCTCACTATCGTCTGGGCTATTAGCGACCCAGAACGCGAATGCTTGTGTCTCTGGTGTGTGTGTATGTGTGTGTATGGAGACGTTGATGGACCAAACTCGGGAATTGTTGAAATTCACGGCGAACGGTATCGATCGCGAATGGACGAGGGGTGAAAGGGGGAGAGGGCCATGCGAAGGGTCCACGTGAGAGCGTCTCCCCCGGACTGTTCTCGGCTGCACACGTGTCTCGCCTTTCGACGCCCAGTAGAGACTGAAATACTGCATTATCCGAGAAAGCGCAATCTCGAACAATACACGGTGGCCGTGGCGTGCAGTGGGGTGGCAGGTAAGTCGAACGGACAAACGAACGTACGAACGAACGGACGGTCGATCGAAGGGAATGCGGATATCGGTTTTCGATAAAATTCTACCGGTGTGGTCCATTACGGGCGCAACATGCGAATCGCGTCTCGTCTCGTCTCTGTAGAAGCGAGTCTCTCTCGAGCTGTGGGGGAAAGGGGTCATCCTGTGCACGGAAGGTAGGTCAGGATGCGCGAGGAAATCGGCTAACGACGGCCGGATATTATTCCGGCTTGGAGTCGCTCCTCGGGCGACTCGTGTCTTAAACCCGACGGTGATCGATGAGAGATGTCGCGCGCGGAGGGGGAAATCGTAATATTAAAAAAGATTTCATTATCCTGTTAGAACAGTACGTCTCTCTCTCTCTCTCCCTCTCTCTCTCTCTCTCTCTCTCCCCCCCCCCTCTGTCTCTCTGTCTCTCTGTCGAGGTCTGATTAAAGTTGACTACAGAAATCTGATTCTCGGTCTATTTTATGTACGTATTTCCGTTTCTTGGAAGAGACGATTGAACGAGCTCGCTTGCGCTGTATCGATTTCTTGGTTTGAACTGCGCTTCGTTGTTGTTAGGTCGCCGCGAAAGTAGAACAGCAGATTTTTAAAAACATTTAAAAACATAGCAATTTTGCAACACAAGAAAATAGGACGATAAAGGTCAACTTTTGTGGAAGCAATTAATTCCTACTTTTTAATATCACTTAATCTTAATAAAAAAGTTTTATAATCATTTACTCGACATATGATATAATAACACTTTTGAGAACTTACGCTATATTAATGAGCGACAGCTCTGAAAGCTCTTGCAGCTTTATTCGAGAAAGAGTGTGCCATTTTACGATGGAGCATACGTTATATCAGACTTTGAAGTCACGAAATTTCTCAGAGGCGGAGAATTAATGATTTCTCGAAATCCCAGCGAGTGTGCCCGGTGGCTCCTACCATTATCCCGTCACAAGGCACAGAAACGTTCGAGGGTGGTAGAGAAAGAGGCAGAGAAGGTATTCGTTTGATTATGTTTAACCGGCCGTCGAATACGATTTCTCTGCTCTCGAGGAAATGATCTGGATAGCGGCAACAACGGCAACGACGTTCCGAGGCAAGAACGTTCTGCCGTCGTCGTAAAGAACCATTCATACCCACGATTATAAACATTCGATGGAAAAATCTGCATGCCTTTCACGTGCTCTCTCCCGCTCTGTGTGGAGTGCGCTCTTCTACCGTACCTCCTCTGGTGCCGCTCGTTATTTTTCCGGTTTAGCCTGACGGCACTTCGACATTGAACTCGTTCGCCAATCACGATCGCTTAACGAGCTGCGATATTTTACGAGCGGGGACGTTTCTCGCAGAGTCGATTTTTACAGCCGCAACGTATCTCTTCCTCGATTTTGGAAACGCAGTTACTCTCTGATAATCTAAAGCCGAAGATACAATCTACTGCGGAATTGTGGAAAATGTCATAGAGAATTGTCTCGAGCGAACCACTCAATTTGTCTGAATGTATTTTTATGTGATTCCATATGACTCTTATCGACGTATCAATTCACAGTTTAGTGACTTCTTACATCGGCTTTTTTATTCAAACACGCACATATCTCTCTCTCAATGTTAGAACAGAGTTTAAACTGGAATCTAAATTATTATTAAAAAATCGGCCCTTAGAATTTCGCTCATATGGACAATAAAGAAGGCCGGAGAGAATACTATGGTTTCTACAATCCTTTTGTATACATAAGTAGGAAATAGCATCAATACTTCTCTTTTTACCACGATCATATTTAGCCAAGTATTATTCCTAGTGTTTTCTCCGCGTGAACTAATAATGTCGAAATGATTTGATGGCACGATGGGAGTACGAGAGGAAGAACATTCTTCTATGTCAGCGATAACGAGCGGCACGAGGGCTACACATCATAGTCATCACATCCCACGTTCACCGATTATAATTTTACTTTTACAGCTGATTTGCTTGTTCCCGCATGGTTCTTGGTTCCATCCACTATCTCTAATTGGTAACGCCAACGAGCGAGCGGACGCGCTCGGGAAAAGCGCACAAACCGTATGGATGGTTCCGACAATCAAGCACACGAGAGTCACGGCGCGAACTCAAAGGGAATCCGAGAGATCTTTGAAGGATTGCCAGGTGGAATGGCCTAGCTCGCTTTCTCGCGTTTCGAGTCCGTTCCAAGAGTTATACATCACGCTCGTTTATCCTTTGAGAACGCTGTCGGTGACGTTGTTGCGGCGGTCGACGGAGAAAAATCACGTTCCGCGAAAGCCGTGCGGAAATTTTGCGCAACCGCTGCCCTCTTCACGCGACTCGGCAGCGAGGCGCGAAATGTAATTTAGTGCTTCTATATGTGATATACCGCACTCGCGCGCAAACTTGTGTTTTCGCGATAAATAAAGCGTCCGAGGTGCGAAGTTGCACGCGAGAGACAAATTGTGATATCACGGAGATAAATGACCAAAAATTTGGACCTTCAATCGCCTTGTGAAAGCCTTGGATCGCTGGCAGCGCTTGGCAACCGCCGAGATTTTCTCCGTCGCTGCGTGGCTTCATCATATGATTTCATTCTTTTTGCTACATTATTGTTAGCCTGTAGTCCTTGTCGTTGATTTGATAGCTACAGCCGCTGTACACCGCCTAAAATTAAGGCGCGAGAGAGAAAGGGAGAAAGTGTGGGAGAGAAAGAGAGTGAGAGAGTGAGAGAGAGCAAAAGTGAAAAAATAGACGAGGCAAGAGCGAACGAAGCTCAAAGAGCGCGACCTTTAAGGTAACACGATGGAGACGAATCCGACAGAATCGAGCAATGATAGAAGCGGCTATCGTCAGAGCATTTTCGGCAACACCGTGTTTTGCATGCCCGAGAGATACGTCGATGTCGTGCCACGTGGCATCGGCGCTCAGGGTACTGTCTGGTGAGTAAACTCCACGGCCCGGGATCGATTACTGCGTCTATATGTCCATTTAACACCGTCACTGATCTTGAAACACCGTTTCATATTGGGGAGCGCTTAATGTACAAAGTAGATGATTCTTAACTTTTTATGATTATTATGATTTATTTAGTTAATTTACACAATTCAATTCTTTTTGTGCAAGGCACAATTCTCTTGAAGAAATAGAATATCTTTGTATAAAAACGTTTATTTCCTGTGAGGAGATACACCTCTGTTGTCTTGGTAGATTTTACTTTGTCCTGAGTTGCGTTAAGCAGAGTCGAGATTATAATTTGTTGAAACCAGAATTCAGACACTATCATTCTAACAATCTTTTTGTATTAATCATTCGGTTATTATCCAAGGTTGGATTATTGATTTTAACAAGACGCCGAGGTTGGGAGGTCAAAAAATCGATCGCGATTGGGCAGGAGCGTGACTGACGAGCCGATTACGTCTCTGTTGCAGCGCGGCGTACGACACTGTCACTGCGCAGAATGTGGCGATCAAGAAGCTGTCCAGACCTTTTCAAAACGTAACGCATGCGAAGAGGGCCTACAGAGAATTCAAGCTGATGAAGCTGGTCAATCACAAAAACGTGAGTCCCTTTTGCAATCCTATGTCAGTTTCGTCACAACAATTCTGGATGCGTAATACGCGACCACTTTGGACACGCAAAGAAAAGCTTTCACTGCCGCAGTCAATCATGGTTTGCTAAAAATATATCTGTTGCTCTGAAAATTTGCAACGAAAGCTTTTGCTGCTGTTGCTTCGGTTTCATAGCTAAATATATGTTTACTGGCAGCTATATTTTCAAGTATCCAAATTTTACAACGAGATTTATCACACATAGATTCTTACTGTAGTTAATTTTTTTCTCCCATGCATATGTCAAGATAATTATTTGGAAAAAAGCTGTAATGTTAAATCGAATCTGAAAAACAACTCAAAGTAGAAATAGTAATTAGAGTAAAAATATAGTAAGAACTATAAAATAAGCAAGGAGTAAAAATGTTTACAACGATCACTCGTTCAAAGCGCGTAAAATCTGTGCACTGAAATAAGTGGAGAAACGCCGCGAGACGAGGCTGCTCACGACGTCTCATGATACCCGCGAACTTTCATCCAATCACCATCGCTTACTCCCCACATCGTATTCCCGATCTCGCCGCGGCAATTCCCCCACGACGATCCCGCAACTACTTCCTCACCGACACCTAATTCGCCGATAGCTAATTCACGACGTCGTCTCGTTGCAGATTATCGGTCTCCTGAACGCATTCACGCCGCAGCGATCCCTGGACGAGTTTCAAGACGTATACCTGGTGATGGAGCTTATGGACGCGAATCTGTGCCAGGTGATCCAGATGGATCTGGATCACGAGCGGATGTCCTACCTCCTCTACCAGATGCTGTGCGGCATCAAGCACTTGCACTCCGCCGGCATTATTCATAGGGTGAGTTCGCCAAGCGTTCGTGCCGCGCGTTTTCGTTCCCCCCGGCTTCCTCGCGTCCCCCCGATGAAAATTGCATAACGGCCAGGCCGTTTAATCTGCCGTAACGAGATTCATTAGCGACGCTGCTGCTGCCGCTGCTACCATTGCTACCACTGCATATCGCGTGCGCGCTCGCGTTTGTTTTGTTCCGAGTTTGTCGTTTGTCGCCGACGAAAGAAAATAACCGTCGCGTCGTTCCGATTAATTTCACTCGTCGGCCCCCGGCACTCCCTGCTATTCCCGCCTCCCCCGCCTTCCAGAATGTCGCGCGTAATAGAATAACTAAAACCGGCGTCGCTCATTAAAAATGAGGAGGCGCGGAATGTATAATCACGCTCCACTCAGGATTAAAATTCATGCAATATGCCGGATAACAACGCGCGTGTTATCGCCGTTAATTCGTTATTCAACACAACGAGAGCGGCTATATGTGTCGTTACTCGATCTCGCGACCCTTTCCCTGACGATTAATCTCGAGATATCCGAAGGGTTCTCTCCTTGAGCAATTTTTCTCGACCAGGTCGTCGAGATGAATTCTGATTTCTCATTGAATTTCAATGATCGATTATTTAATTATTTGTCAAAAATGTGTCTGTTCTATCGCGCAGGATTTAAAGCCGAGCAACATTGTCGTGAAGTCGGATTGCACGCTGAAGATCCTCGACTTCGGCTTGGCGAGAACCGCCGGCACCACATTCATGATGACACCCTACGTCGTCACCCGATATTATCGGGCGCCAGAGGTGAGTCGGATTTTTTCTCTTCGATTCTTCGCTACCGCCGACTTTCTCGTTTCGATTTTGTGTTCTACGCTCTTTCTTGTCTCGCTGACAGGTGATCCTCGGCATGGGATACAAGGAGAACGTGGATATCTGGTCGGTGGGCTGTATCATGGGCGAGATGATACGGGGCGGAGTGCTCTTCCCGGGCACGGATCACATCGATCAGTGGAACAAAATAATCGGTAAGACGGCGTTGTGCCTCAGGGCGAGGATGACGATGATCGTCGCCCACGAATCGAGAAGATAGCGAGCGAATACTCGAAAGAATATCCAATAGATTCGCAAACGAAAACAAAAGCTTCGAGCTTCCAACAACGTGTCGCTGTTCGATTTAGTCTCTTTGTTTTAATCAAGGTTTTGTTCGAGTCAATTTAATTTCTCGCAGATGCCTTCTACTGTCATGTTTAATTAATGAGAACAATCGTAATTTTCGACATGTTCTCTCTCTTGTTTGCAGAGCAACTAGGCACTCCGGCGCAGGAATTCATGCAGCGGCTGCAACCTACTGTCAGGAATTATGTGGAGAATAGGCCGCGATATCCGGGCTACCCCTTCGAAAGGCTATTTCCGGACGTGCTGTTCCCCTCGGACTCGTCGGAGCACAATAGATTAAAAGGTGAGTAGGTCACGAAGTCGACGTCCGCGTCGCGGAATCGATCGGAGCACGCGTGCTGACGGACGCACCGAGATACGCTTTTAACGTACGAAAGAGAAGGGGACTGGCGTGAAAAAATGAAAAAGAAAGAGAGAGATAGAGAAATAGAGAAATTTCTCTGCATTTCGCTCTCGCTCATCCTTCCGTTCGGTTTTGTTTTCTTCCAGCGAGCCAAGCCAGGGATCTATTGTCGCGCATGCTCGTCATCGACCCGGAGCGACGCATTTCCGTCGACGAGGCGTTGCTGCACAATTACATAAATGTCTGGTACGACGAGGGAGAAGTTAATGCTGTAAGTAGGCTCTATCGATTGATCGCGATTCGCTTCTTCCAATCGGGTTGCTTTTCTCCGGGTACTTCAACACTCGATTCCCAAAGATACCTCCCCTACGACGTACAGGTATTGCGGCGATAAAGTCTAATGCGTTTTTCACGTGGCGATATAAGGGAGAAACGTCGCTGTAAAAAGCGCCAATCCGTTTTCTTCCAGCCCGCGCCAGGACCGTATGATCACAGCGTGGACGAGAGGGAGCACACAGTGGATCAGTGGAAGGAGCTGATCTACCAAGAAGTCATGGAGTACGAGACAAGCCACAATCCCGCGGCGGTAGCTGCGTCGTCAGAGAGCTCTGGAAGCCGGTAGATACAGCGGAGCCCATCAGACTCCTTCTCGTCGAGGAAACATCCCGACAGTCTGACTTACCGCGTCGACATTGCCGGAGCATGAGAGGGAGAGAAAGTGAGAGAAAGAAAGAAAGAAAGAGAGAAGGGCCCAAAGGAAGGAAAGAAGGAAAGTGCGTCGACGTCCACGGGATATCGGGCGATACCGATCTCCCTCTGGCCTCTCCTTCGAAGAAGAACCGCGTACGGAGCAATGGAAAAGGCGGAATGTGAGAGAAGAAGCTCACTCTATCGAGCGTCGCCAGTCTCGGGAAATCGCGGAGGGCTTCCTCGGGCAGTGCGCGCGTGACCGGAGCAGCACGACAGATTGAAACGGATCTCGGAGACGTCGTCGCTACGTAGACGAGAAGCGCGTTCACTCGCTCGCTCGCTCGCTCACTCACTCACCGACTCACTCATTCGCCTGCTCACTCGCGCGTTCATCGCACTCGATCTCCGCTTGAGAGATCTTCTTTCTCTTCTCTTCCCTCACTTCGCCGGCCAACCTTCGCTGAGAAGCAGAATCCGAAGCAGTTCCCCGCAACGAGAGCTAGAAAGAGAGACAGAACGCCCCTTTTTTTTGCGGAGGCTAACCGCTGTGCAGTGCTCGGGACATCCTCTTAGCTCTTTTTCGTACATTTCATACAAGGGCGCGGAAGTCAGGAAAGAAGAAGAATCGCGCAGTAGGGAGGCGGGAAGAAGAAGAAAAAGAAGAAGTGGTCGTGCGTCCAGGAAGAGCATTCCTTTCTCCTGGATATCCTTCCGTGGCACGTAATACGCGCGCAACGCGTCGGTGGCGAGTTGCTTTCGGAGAGAAGAGGATCAGAGGGAGCGAGCGATCGAACTGCCGTTGGACGAAGTTATCGTTGCAAGTTGTCGTCCCCTCAACTACTGCCAACCTGGGTTGGACGAGGCTCTCTCTTATCCTCTCGATTCGTCTCTTCGATCGACAAACGCGCTTCCCGAACATCTCCGGCGACACACCCTCCTCTCCCAAAAGCCCCTGTCTTACGACACGATATTTCTACCTCAGTCCCTTCACTGCGTCTGCTTGACTCTCTTCTTTAGTACGAGTGCCCTTATTCGCTGTTCGATTTGAAGAAGCTGTGTAACCGTCGGTGGCCACTTACGAATGGTTGTTCCCGATCCCCCCGTTGTTCGGCAATCGGACACCGCTCTCACACAGCACATCTTATAGCAATAAAGTTAACGTGGTAGTGCAGAGAATCAAGTTAGAAATATCGTGCCTCGGATGAGGCTTTCTCCAAATCTTATCATCGTCGGAGCTGGACCGTCCCTTCAATTCTCATATCCCGTTTTCGATACCGAGTGTTAAAGACGTTTGACGACGTTCGGGATGTAAAGTAAGGAGGACTGATGAAAAGCACTGTCGATCTCGCAAATCGACGGCCGACCGTCGTCACCGAGGGGAGAATCGATCGAGCGCATTTATCGTTTGCGCGCGGACAACATATATACATATATTTTTCGTACCATTGTTAAGCACGGGAACACATACTTCTCTCTCAATCACATATATATTATAACTCAATGCGACTATCCTACGACTTTCGGGTATGGTGTCACGGTACAAAGACCACGTAAGGGGATAAGGAGAAATTTATCACAGAGCTTATAGTCGCTCGATCGTAGCCCGTCGGTCGCGGCGGTCGACCGCCGGGACGCGGACGATCCGTTGAAATTCGAACGTTTCGCTGAAGCCACAGATCGCTTCGAGCGAGGGGAAAAAGTGAGTTTGGTACATATATAAATATATATATTATATATATGTGTGTACATTAATTTGTGAACCGCGCACGGTTCTCTACGTACGAGACGCGTGTCGCGCCCTCTGTGAGCGCGCTCGCGAACAACGCAGGGGAAGCCGAAGCCGTACGCTTGCAAATGTCGAGTCTCGAGTCGTTGTGAAACGATCGACGAGGTGTGAGATTTTTGTACATAAAAATTCCCGCAAGAATAAAAAAGAAACGAAAGAGTGAAAGGAAGAAACGCGCTGGACGTGCCAGAACGCCGCGAACGAGAGAGTGTCTGCGCGATCTCTCGCGACATACCGATTCTTTTCGTCTCCGCTCTGTGCGCTTTCATCTCAATCAGTGCCAGTAACGGATGCAATCGAGTACATGTTATTCGTATCATTTCGTAGAATCATTGAGGGATCGGCGAACGTGCTGCTTAATTTCAATCGAGTCGCCAAAAAAAGGGAGAGGAGAGAGAAAGAGAGAGAGGTAGGTAGAGAAAGAAAAAAAGAAAGGAATCAGTGCAATGTCACAACGATCGATCATAGTAACGTTGCGCCAAGTACTCTCCGCGATCCCGCAATTACCGATTATATTCTTAGCTGAGGTAGTAAGTAGTAGCGTTAATCGATACTTGTATCATCTTCTCGTGCAATGTCGCGTGCGGCGCGCTTCGCACGACGAGCGGCGACTCGCTCACGGTGCTCTTAACCAGCAATCTCTTGCAATCGGCGAAAGAAACAGAGCGATTCGAGTGGCGCGAATCGATGCAATAAGTCGCGGTGGGCGGACATAAATATATCCACTATAATCGATCGCAAGCACGTTAAGAAGCGGCGGCGTTAAGAGGAGACGATTTCGCACTTAAATTCGTTTCGCGAAGACACAAATCCTCGAGAGGACGTTTAAGTGAATTTTTATTCCCTTCGGATCGTGTGTGTTTCGTATTGCGATAGAGAATAGGTGCAGTTAATAAGGAGATTGAGGAGGGGAATGGGCGGAGGGGGGAAGATGGAAGTGAGGCAGGTGGACATATACGGGGGTGGGTGAGAGGAGCGGTGTTGGTTCTTCGACGGAAACGCGAAGCGGCGACAGTCGTGATTAATGGACCGAGCGAGGGTGGGGCCGGGCTGGTAAGATCGACGATGCTGACGACGTTGACGATGATAATGACGTTGACGTAACGACGACGACGACGACGACGGCCACGACTACGACGACGATTCAGTTGTCGTGTTATACGATATGTAATTATATTTATTACGCGAATCGACGCGAGGAGAGAAGGAGGAACTTATTACAAAAATACCCAATCGACGAAGTGGTGATGAATAATTGTATAATGTAAACGTTAAAATTTTTATTTTCCACGACGATAGTTATGTGAATATATTGCTACAGTCCGATCCAAATATAATCAAGCTTTTGTAACACTAATTATAATAAAAGTCTAATGATGATACTGCTAATCACGTAATTGTATCGCACACACGGTAATTAAACGAAAGAGAGAAAGAGGGGGAGGGAAAAGAAAGAGAGAGAGAGAAGAAAAAGGGAAGAAGGAAAAAAGAGATAAAGAAGAGAAAGAAGTACGAGCTACAAGCGAGTCTCGTTTTTCGCGTGCACGCAGGAGAACAGTACGCCAAAAATCTTTACAAATTCAAGCCGAGTTGCCACCATTGGTCCCGTTAAGCAAACGACTCGTCGCTGTTCCTTTTCCCCAGAGTCACATTTCTCTCGCCTATTGGCCGTGTATAATGTTACGGAGAAGCGCATAATTGCGTGAACGAGCTTCTGTCCGACACAAAAAATTCACAGCACGGGCATCCTCGCCGATACTGGAACGTCCTCCTTTAAGCGCACGACCCTTTTGCCGCGCTATTCCTTATGCTACGCGCGAAGAATACTGTCATGTGTATCTACAGAGTATTTTGCAATAACATGTGTTTTCTAACAAAAGAGAAAAAACAATCACAAGATGGCCCGCGATCATCACCGGCGTTCTAATGTGTCTTCACCCCTGCGAAAGTGCGCGGATCGTGAGAGGATCGCTCGGTGAAGCCGAGTTCCCGATTTTAGAGGTCGGCAGTTGGTCTGCTAAACGATTGAATTCGAGACCTTTGGACTATTTTTTACCAAATCTTTTTCAACAAGGGATCACACATCCGCCTGATAATCTGCCCTCGCACGGCGTGATGATAGCGCGTCTCGTTCGGAGTTCTGAAACTCTCAAACCGCCCTGCGATCTCGAACATGGGGAACGTGATTTCCCGGAATCAAGGATCCCCGACCGCCTCTTCACGATTCGTCGTACCTCTCCTTTTGCCTCTCTTCAGAAAACGGCATTTTGTTGCACCTTCGACCGCTCGAGAGAGATTCTTCGCCAAGCCATTTCCAATTTCGTTCCACACGCGTCATCCCGCATACCTAAGAACGAATAACGCATAACGCATAATGAGATATTTTGTGATCCTCGTCACACATTACACGCCAATTTACGCATATATACACACACATACACACAGGCGCACTTTCTCACACACATACACGCGTTAAGTAAAGTCAATTATATTTAATCAGCGGACGATACTTAGCAGTTATAAAGCGTACCCAGATATATCTCTTGGGCATTGCACCTGCACAACAGGGTATTTTTGCGGCCCTTCGTGCGTGTATTCACAGGGTGTCTCGTTGAATTTAAGCGAAACAAGAGGAAAAAACCAAGAAAAACTCTGAAAAAAGTTGTAGCTGTTCCAGAGTGCAGAATATGAACGCAGTGGGAGAGAGAGAGAGAGAGAGAGAGAGAGAGAGAGAGAGGGAGAGAGTGAGCGATGAGAGAAAGACAACGAATGAGAGGAAGGGATCGAAAGGGAAAAAGAAAGAGATACAACTATTTTTCCATTTGCAAGCCATTGCTGCAAGCCTTTTTCTTCGCACAGTGAGCGCGCTGAAGGACTCGGTGAACCGTGATTCCTTGAAATTTCGTCCAGCTCCTTGAGCCAGCACAATCTTTAAATCACTTTCGAGACGCTGAATCGCTTGCGACGTTTCTTTCCCGTCTGCGATACGAGAGAGAAAGAATTAGAAGAAAGAAAGGAAGAAGGGAGGGAGGAAGACAGAGAAGGTGAACCGAAAATTTTGTAATACCGTATTCGCGCTGCGATAATCTCCCCGCGATATTTGTACCTAACGCAATCAGAATTTCTAAAGATTTTTGGATATACGCCATAAGAGCGGGTGTGCGAGAGAGTGAGAGGGAGAGAGTGAAAGTGAGAAAGCGAGCGAGAGAGAGAGAGAGAGAGAGAGAGAGAGAGGTGATAATTAAATTTCTGCGAACGCGCGAGGTTGCCCGGTTTCGGAAACGTTATCACATTTATCAAAGCGAAAGAGACGCGGCCCGGATCACATGGAGGACGTCCTCATTGCAACACACTGTGTGTGTGTGTACACACGCAGCAGCAGCAGCAGCAGTAACATACAGAGAGACAGATATACGTAATTTCACACACACACACACATACACACACTCCACACTCACGGATACTCGCCCATACATAAACACACACATACACACACGTACCGTAGTTGTGGCAGCTCGTACTACGTTCTTCTCGTTTCCATAGTTAAAGCAAACGTAGCGGATAATAAACGGTAGCGTAACGATAACGAGTAAAATAAACGATAACGATACTAATAAATAGTAAAGGATAATAATAAAACCAAGTAAAATGTTATTCGCAGAGTCGTAGTGAAAGAAAGACAGGAAGAAAGAGAAAGCAGGAAAGAGAGAGAGAGAGGGAAGAGTTTTGCGGGAGGATCTGTGGTATATCTCGTAAAATCGCTGCGACTCCCCGGTACCTTTAGATAATCGATGCAGCAATCGGTCAAATTATCTTAACTCACTTCCGAATACGTAGAACATGACTGTATACGACGATTGTTAATCCGATGAATGCACTCGGAACGCGCAATATCGGCGAGGCAAACGAAAGGCAAAATAAAGGAAATAAGAGAGAAACTTTCTTTACGATATCGTCAAGCGAGAGAAAAAACGAGCAAAGAATAACGGATACCTTTCAGTCATGTGCCTTTGACACCTTTTTGAAAGAGAACCATATTCTGCCGAGGTCGGCAGAAGATGTAAAAGATAAGAATAAGGATATAAACGGGAACGATTTAGTAATTTACATATCAATTAACAATTTTTATCATCTCGTTGATAAATCAAATATAATGTATGACGCGATTATCGTCACTTAACCGTAGATCTTCTTTATTTCGTCCAAAGCTCATTATATTTTCGCGAGACGGAAGAGAGACGAAACTCTGTTACTGTTAAAATAACCGTTATCGTCAGATGCCGTTATTTTAACGAATTATTATTACTTTTAATAAGTAATAAACAAACTATCGATGCACAACGTGAGAGTAAAGAATTAGGAACAGTTATTGAGAAGGAACGCTTCAACGTTGTGGATGTTCTATTTTTGATAGTTATCAAACGCAACGAATCGTGACTCCTGTTTCCTGTTTTCCTTGGTTTTTTATACTACAAATTATCTTGTCCTCCTTGTATGTAACTTATTATATAATTCGCATAATGATCCTTGATTCTTGTCTTGTCATATCCTTGATTCTTGTCTCTCTCACATTCTGACCTCGCTCGTTTAACGCATCATTCGAAAGACAGAGAGGCGACCAAGCGAGATCCCGTATTGCGCGTTCACAGCAGGATCGAGTTTTTAACTCGTGGTGATCCCGGCGACGTCCTGACAGCCGCAATCGCTTCCGAAACCAGGGGAAATCGACCCTAATATACAATATATATAGAATCTAGAATATAAAATGAAGAAACTACAAGATATAGAAGAGAACCCGGCTGAGAAATAGAGTGAAACATACCGGTGGTTAGACGTATCGTAAAGACGATAAGCGATCTTTTCTTAGGGGGGAAATGATGATTAATCGATAAATCGGTAAATAAACAAAGAATAAAACGAGAGTAACGTAAACGATAATTCTTCTTCTTTAGCGCAGTAAGAGGGCGACTAAAAAAAGAATATACAAAAGCGGGGAATATTTTGAATGACGACGCGAATCGAGCGGAGCTCGGGCAGGGGACGGGACGGGGAGCGGGAGGGAAGAGAGATTAATGAAGAAACAAAATAATAATGTCCATGTTGCTAAACTTAGCAGTGAGGTAGATCGCGTATAGGCGACGTCTTAGTTTAAAAAATTAGTCCTTAGTACAGTGAGAAAGGGAGAGCGAAAGTGCGAGAGAGCGAGAAAGAAAAAGGGGGAGAAAGGGAAGAACACACATCTGTACACATAACACAATAAACACACACGTACACATAGAAAGAGAAAGAGAACAGTGCATAAAGTCTACATTAATACTTAGGCTAGATCTCTAGGTTGTTCCTTCGTATTAGAGCGTAGCCCCGGAAACGCCGTACGGGACACTATCGTGACGACGTTTTCGGTGACATCATAGAGAAAGAGAAGTGCTCTTCCCGAGAGCGATTTCTTTTCGTTTCCCTCGAGCGAGAGAGAAGCCAGACGAATGTGTGTATGTGTATGTGTGTGTGTATGTGTGTGTGTAAAGTGCGGGGATCGAAGGCGGTGTGTGACTTTGGCGCGTGGGGCCCGAATTCGACGTTTGGATCTCCCGAATTCAACTCGCAAATTCCTCGATTAATTAGAATCTTTATACGATTACTGGTAGATTCTCGTAAGATTTTTTTTCAACAGCTTGAGACTGTATTCTGAACGTACACAGCGAACGTTTCTGATTCTCAAGCCGAAGCAACATTATACGCGACGCTCGCATGAGAAAATTAGACCTTGGAATTAGAAAGACATACACGGAGAAAAATAATATTTGAAGATTTATTCGTGGAATCTAAAGTTTATTCACAGAAATAAACACGTCACAAGGAAATTTTCAAGTACTTTTCTCTCAGTGTGCTTACACGGTGAAAAGAAGATATAGTGCACATAACCAGAAATATTTAGTCGTGACAGTCGCGTCACCACAGAGATTTTTGTGTGATGGTAATGTGTATGATTGATATGATTCAGTTACTTTGGTAGATCGATTGTATCAGTGCGGTTGCGCGTGATCTGGTTGTGCCAACCGGAAATCGATTGAAATGCCATTTACCATGAATATATTCTGACTGGAGCAACCAGATATCGTTATTGTAAGTTAGCAATTGATCTGTGATTGCAACAACCATATAATTAGTTGTTTTGTGTTTTACTATTGAATCTGTTTGGCACAACTAGATTGGGTCAGCTGTTTTCCATATATCAGTTGCCATGCGTTCAGTGTAGAGCTCCAGGAATTCGTAATTTTGATTATCGGCATTAGAGATTCGACCTCTCTCTCGCCGAGGTCTTCGCGGACCAACGAGCGCATCGATCATGAAGCCGTTTCGATCCCCGAACCACCCCGAACCATTCGGAGACATCCCGCGGATCGACGATGCTCCCAGCGAGTTCCCAGTCGTTCCCCCCCGTCGACGGGAGGGAGGACCAATCGCCAGAGCAATAATGTACTTTGCACCTCTTCCGACCTGCGTCAACTCACCCAGAGTCTCTTTCTCTCTCTCTCTCTCTTTCTTCCGACTCCGGCTTCGTCCTCGTCGAGACTTCGACGTCGGCGATTCCTCGAGCGAAAGTCGAGGGACGAGACGCTCGAGACGACTTCCCGGGGATATCCCACGGTGGAGATTCTCCCCGTTTCCTCGCTGACGATCTCCTATCGGGACATCGGCGATCCGCGCGCGTCGCCAGGCGCGAACTCGTTTTTGTACATTCGCGAGACGATCTTTCCCGAAGGCGTGCGCACTTCAAACCGTACCCTGTGTACCGTCGAGGGATTTACTCGCCGAGGACACGGCGGACCTCGGCGAGAGAGTCCGTCGGAATATTTTATCCTTCCGACCGTGACTCGTGGTAAAGCCCTTGAGAACGATACACTCGGCCTCGCAGCGAAGAACACGAAGAGAGAAGGAAGCACGACGGAGGCGAAGCGAGTCTCTTCTTTTCTACAGCCAACAATAATACAAAAAAAAACCGCTGTACCTATACACATACACACACACACACACACATATGACATTTAAACAACAAACAAAAGCACACCCATGCACATACACACACACAGTAGTCACGTGAAGCGTAAACTTAAATTATTATAAATACTAATATATTAATATTATTGAATATATACCTCTTCTGTACATACAATTAAGCAACAATAATAATAATGAATAATAATTGATCGTGAGAGAATGTCGGACGATAGGACGGGGGCAAACAATAATTGCGCATTGTTTTTAGTAAGAACGATGGCGATTAAGTTGTGAATATAATAAGTACGATTGTAATTGTAATTATATATACACCTTCGCGGCGATACGATGTAATTGTATGGATCCACACATGGCGACACGTACACACATACATACATATATACATACATACATACATACATACATACATACACTACGGTATAAATATTATAAATACATTATATAGCGACGCGAGACGGGACGACGACGATGATGGAGACAATGGTGATTTTTATTATTACTCTATTATTATTACATTATTAATATTATTATTATATTATTAGTTATGTCGTTCTGATTGTATTATATTGTATCGAGGAACACGGCACGAATAGAGGCGAGTTTTCGATCGATCGGATTATCGTGCAACAATAAGCGAAAATAAAGAAGAATAAAAGAAGAAGAGAAACGAAATCGTGGCGCGTCGTGTCTAATTTGTACTTAGTTATTACGTAGCCGAGCCGAGTTATTATTACAGTCTCGGAACTCGGCGTCAGACGCGAGAGTAGCGCGTTTTCTTTCTTCTCCATTTCCATCGGCACCGTTGAAGCGTTGCACGGTACGAGACGAGCTCTCGGCTTGGGTGCGTGCCTCTCTTCGCACCCTCTTCCGGCGAGAAACTTGGTCGTACAGCTCGTACGAGGACTCTTGCACGCGCGTGAACGAAGGTCGCGGACGCGCGGCGATCGGGGACGCGAGAACGGGAGTGAATCGGGGCGAATTGGCGTGGACCGACGTCGCGCGTCGTTAGCTCTTAGCCTTTTGCGAATACACCAATGTGTCGAGTCGTGTCACGTCGACCAGTAGCCCTCTTGTTTCTATTTTGGATTTTTCTAGGGATCCTCGGTACACACGAAAACACATTAACACACTGACACGCGCGAAGCCCGCCAGTAGAGACTCCGCGAGAGACGGGCGAATCGAGAGGAATCGACGGGAAACGAAGAGCGCGTCAAATCGCTAAATTTGAAGGCCGTTAATTCGCTTTTATGATACCTTCCCGTTTTTACGTGTTTGCCCGTGCAAACAACAATAGGGAAAGGAAACGAGAAAAAAATGTGATACACCTTTCCTAAAATTAAGATTATTATAACAAAAGCATCGCGCGAAGAGAATGACGAGTCGATCTCGTCGTGGAGGAACTATTACACCGAATTGCTTGAAAAAGGGTGCCAATAATATGTGAAACGTATCGGAACGCGACCCGAAGGTGTTAGAACTGATCCCCGATTCGGAGGATCGCGTGTTCAATTCCACGGGAATCTCCCTCGATTTTCGATTCGTCCACTTCTCGCGGAGTGGAAGACACGGAATGTTTCCGTGTGTCCTTCCTCGTCCCGGAGAGGACGAGACACGATATTATGAGAGAACGATTCTCTCGCGCATACTTGTCCCACGAGAGTTTCGACTATCCCACGATTCACAGAGAAGTCGCGATCCATAATTATTTCTTGGCGAGCCGAACCAATGCTCAAGCGACGCTGTTGGTCTGAAATTGATAATAAAGAAAAGCTGATGAACTATGATTTTCTTTACCCGTCTGTACCTATAGGCCTGTAACGTGTATATGCAGCGGAATATAAGAGAATAAATAAGAGAAAAAAAGAGCAACAAAAAGAGATGAGGCAACAGTAAGAATAATAACAACAGCAGCAACAAACAACAACAAGAATACACACTTTTTATATGCATGATTTATAAGTTTTAATTTTTAATATTAAAGGAGATACACAACACACACCATGTTGTATGTGAATGAATTATTGGTTATTTAAATTGATGTTTTAAAATATCAAACCTGGGCTTCTTATTTTCTCTGCGACTGCCTTCCTATCACGACCCTCTTACGGCATTTTATATAAACAACGAGAATGTATTTCACAGATCCGCGCAGTAACAGTATTAATTTTACTTCTGTGACGATAGAAATCAGATACGAATTTTTTATCGCTAATGAGAAAAGCTGCGTGTCATTCGTTGTATTTTACGAATTACAAGAATATATAATAATATAAGTTTCATGCTTTTAACAGATACAATTGCAACATATCTTTGATCTATCTCTCTGCTATTTAAAATAAATTTAAATAAATTTTGTATGTGTACACACTAAGAAGTAAAACTCACAAGCGTTTTAATATGAAATTTCGTGATGTTAGAAATTAAAGAATAATTTCTCGGATCATGCAAACATGTTTTAACAAAAATCGATTATAAATAACTCAGAACGCCGTCTCGTTAAATAAAGGTGATATGCGAGTCTACTAATAAGAACTTATATAAGAATAATAATAAGAATAAACAGGTAGGTGATGTATTTTGTACATTTAGTGGTATCTTTCTGACTTCTCTCAAGTAAATTAATGTGCGCACGCGCGCCTATGTGTATTCGCGTATGTACTTACTATTTTGCTTAGGAAAATTTCGAAGAACATTACTGTATCCTTACAACTGAAGTTTAAGAACATTTAAAAGTTTAGGAATATATGAAAAAAATTACGAAGTATATTGCAAAAATATATTGCTATATATGTGTGGTTGGATGTTTCACTAAAAATGGCGAAACAAAGCAGTGCACATTTACGTAAAATCTATATGTACAAAAAATACGAAAAGAGTAGCGTGATCGTGTTAGTGGCTTGTCTGACATGACGTTTTGACGATCGCTTCTACGTTATCGACACTTTTGGAGCTCATCATCCGCTTTGGCATTTCCTTAAACTCATCCATGGCAGACTTACTAAAAGCATGGCTGCGAGCACGACTGGGCGTTATCATGGATCTCAGCCCGGAGATGTTCGGTCGCTACACCAGAGATGGTACATTGCTCGCGCGAATTCTCCACAACTACGACATAATCAGTAACAATCAACTGAGCACGATCTTGCACACGCACGACCCGGCGCTGTCCAGGGTGAACTTGAAGACTCTGCGTATCTGGCTGAAGCTCATTAACGTCACATTGAGCGACGAGTGCATCGAGGAGATCTCTAAAGTAAACTTCCTATCGCTGAAAACAATCACAATTTTTATGAAAATATCACCAAGTCGCGACGATAACGGCTTTCATGACGTTGAACAACACTTCAGGGTAAAGGCGCGGCGGCTCTTCAGCTCTTCTACAAGGTCTACCTCAGCCTGGAAGGTAAAAACCGACTGCATTTCATCGCCCTGCAAAAAGAACGAGAGAAATTGGTCCCTGCATCCGGCAGGTTTAACGTCACCAAAGTGTCCGAAGAACCACCTCCCTATCAGCCACACGAGCATCCTCTCTCGAAGCCGCTAATCGAGTCCGCCGACACCATCTTATGGCATCGAAATAAATTCTGGAATATTGTTCAGGCCTGTAAAAATGAACGGCGACGATTCGAAGCTGAAATAAAGTATCCCATAGTCGAGCCAGTCGAGCACTTTATCCCGAGCGACGTAGTAGATAAGACGAAAGAAGAAAGTAGAAAACTAGACGAATTCGCTTGCAAGCATCCAGCTCGCGTAGCAAAGAAAAAAAAGAAGAAACTGGTTGAGTGTTGTCCTCAGAAGAAGTTCCTCGACGTCAGCCCCGTCGAGGACCCCGCGATCGCGGCGGAGTACGTTGATTTTTTAAGAAAACGCGGCGAGCGAACGCGCAAATTCCAGGACTCGAAGCTGAAGACGCAGACGACGATGATGGCAGACGCCTGGGAGAAGCTGCTGAGGCGACAAGACAAATCGTTTGATGAAACTCTCGGCCGTCGAGTGTTGGATCAGTCGCGATATGAGAAGCAGATCATAAGAAAGCTGTGCGAAGTGCGCGACTTGAGAAACAGGATCGTGGAGAATCGCAGGATCGTCGACATGATGCTGCTGAGAATTCGAGAAAACGAGCAACGACAGCAAGAACGTCGTGAACTGGAAGCAACAACGGCGGAAGCACGAGATGTGGAGATGGAGCATTGTAGAATGCGGGAGTTACGTCGGAAGATTTGCGAGGAGAAGGTTAGTTACAGATGATTAGAATTAGAGTTTATGATGATCCTGGAATCTCGGTGATTCCTTAAAGCTTGCAATAAAAATTAGTTTCAAAAATTAGTTTCAAATACCCAAGACAAATGTTGACGCATAAGTTTGCCTACAGACATCAAAGAAAGTAAAGAAGGCAAGCAAGCTAGCAAATGCATAATTGTAACAATAATGCATAATTTATACAGTATAAAATGTCATAAAAACAGATACATAGATTCCGAGAAATGCACCGCGGACTCTGTGCAGAGATTACGAGGGATCTCGCGGATATCGCAGTGAAGATCGTCGAATACAGCCAGACCAATGACGATCGCACGCCGCGCTCTGTCTGGAGTGACTGCAGGACGTTGTTCCTGAGGAATCAGCCAATCTTCGAGTTTGCACAATACTCGGACATCTTTAAGATCGAAGACGCGGAAGAAGAAGAGGAAGAGAAGGAACAAGAAGATGTGAACATCCGAAAGAAAACGGAGGATGAAGCAACGACGAATCACAAGTTTAGGATAAAGAACGGAGAAGATATGAGGAACGAAGAGAAAACGAAAGATGCTCAGCACACGGGGAGTAGAAAAGGAAGACAAGTCGAAGACAAGCAGAAGTTGGAATTTCTTCAGTTGGAATTGGATCGTCAAAGAGTCTTAGCCGATGCGGATTTCGAGAATTATCGAGACTTTGCTGCGCCCTGGGATGAATTCGTACCGACAAGAGAAGAAGGACAGGTGGAAGAAGATGAAGAGATTTTCAGACTGGGTCGCGTCGTACTGGGTTACGTGGTTCATCGTTTACTGAGGATGTTGTACAACCAACCCACCGAAATCATGGCTCGTTCGGCACCAAGAGTTAAAGTCGCGGCCGTTGTCTTGGGTATAACGAGTGCAGCGTTGCTCGACAAACTGCGAGAGTCGCTGAAGAGGTATGACGTGCACTTGCTGAGGATGGAGGACGCCATCAATCATTGTCTGGAGAGGTACAAGCAGGAAATGGCGGATGTGGAGTACATTGATCTCGACATCGTCTCGACGACGGCGAGAGACGTCGGGAGATTGCAGGCTGAGGTCGGTAAGACGAATGATCCAAAAGGCCGTCGTGCGAAGTTGCCTGGACGGCCAATGGCAAAGAATGCAGCGGCGAAGCAGCGGCAGAATGCGACCGAGGAGAAACAAACGCAAACATCGAGACAGATTCCCTACGATGATCTGCATCCGACTTTAAGTGACGCCGCGTATATTGGTATATTTTTATGATATTCTCTGAAGTGTCTATACTCTAACTGTGCATTTAACGTTAGAAGTGATCGTCTGATTTTGAGTTCTATTTCATGAAAAAGATTAAGTGTGTGAGATTATTCCAAATTGATCATACTTCATCAGATAAAGAAAATTTATTTATATATTTTATTTAAGTATACGAGAAGAAAATTTTATCCCTTTATGTAAAAAAGAATATGAATAAAAAGAGTAATAACATCTATAGAGACGATTAATAAAATCTACAAAAAGAAAAAAAGAAAAATTTGTCGATTTATTTGTAAGGAAATTAATTAATTTGCTTTTAATTAATTAATGTGCATTCTGCAACATATTAAAAAATCGATGTCAAACATATTTCAATTAAATTAATTTTACTAGAAAGAGAGTGAGTGTTCAATCGTATGAATTTTACTAGGAAAAACGAGTGTTCATTGTGCAATCGTATTTCATCAGATTCATTGAGGATAATATTTCTCTATCAAAGAGCATGTTTAATGTTAAATGCGCAACTTGAATAAAAATCTGTTTGTTTAACGCGTAATGGATGGTTAGACATCGTTAGACATCGGAAGAGCAAGAGTTGCGAATTTTATTTATCGCCAATAATAATAAACGAAAACCAACGGTGATCTCAATATATGATGTTTAGGCAAATGGACTTACGAATTTCTCACGTTGGGTCAGCCGATCTCTAACGAGCTGAACACGAAGATATTGATCGAATACCTCAAGGGAATCGGGAACGTCGAAGGTTGGGCATTAATAAATTATCCCAACACATATGAGCAGATGGCAATGTTGGAAGAAGCGTTAACTGGATACCAAGTGACACGCAATCGTTGTAAGGCTCTCGATCTCGCGAACGTCAACGTCGAGGACATCGATCCTCCGTCACCCAGAATATTCTTTGAGGCTGACGAAGTCGACACATTTGCGATATGCGGGTGCGCCCGATTATTTCGTATCGAACACCACTCACATTCTTTATACTTTATATTATGTATATAATATACTTATCCTCTCTACACTTTGTATTATTTATATTTCATATTATATAGGATAGACCCTTCTTTATGGACCTAACGAGTATACGACTCTAACAGGCAATCCAAATTATTGCCGGATCCAATTTCTAGAGAAAAGGATCGTCCCGATTTCTCGACGACGTTCGTGACGTTGTATGTCAAGGCGATACCGAAGCCGAAGATTCTAAGCAGTCATGATAAATCTTGTATACCCTTGCCCGATGATGCGACTTCGATAGACGAATATTATGCTGACCGAAATATCGCGTATGGATTTTACTATAACATCCTCGACCTTTCAGCCATGAAACAGCTAGCCCAATTTATCACAGACGATCGATTGGCCGAGAGCAAATCGTCCCTGGATCTTCTTGAAGAACTTCCGCGAACACAGAAACTTTCCGTTGATCCCAAGGCGGCTACCATTAAACGTTGGATACTGAAATCGAAGTGGAAGAAACTATTACAAGAAGATAAGAATGATAGCGAAACTGTAAGTCGCGATTTACCAACGGAAGAGGAAACTCAGCTCGCGAAACCTCCCGCCAGACCTGGAGAAAATGGCTGGCAGTGGATAGATCTTCCACAGTCTCCTGTTTTATTAGAAACCTTGGCCACGCTCTTGGAGAACGTGGAAGAAGGCTACGTGGAGAATCTGAAGGAGATTCTCTCCTTGAAGAGGATTCTCACGTCGGCTGTTATTCCCTACAAAGATTCGATCCTACGGAACTTAATGAAATTCATCGATCGGCCCGACAACCGACAGAATTTGCTGCAAGATTTTCATCACGCTTTTAATGAGATTGACGAGGATCTCAGGGAGGATGTGGACATGAAATGCGAGTTACATTGTCGTGTTAGTGTGGAAATTTTGCAATTGTAGAAAATAGCATAACTTACAATTAAATATAGCGATGTAAATTTGGCATAAAATATTAACATAATAATATATGATATAATATAACATTTATTATATTTTATTATTTTCATTTCTTTTTTTACAAATTATATTTCTCTTTTGTTTTTCATAAAGAGACATTTCTCGTTACTAAATAAGCAAATAAATAAATAAATGATATAATATATCAAAATAAATATGATAAATAATAATAATAACACACATGGAACGTTTTGAAAAAAATTTATAAAGAACTCGCGTGCAGGTCGTCGACTTCCGGGCGGAACTGTGGGAGCTCTGCGACGCGCGACGGCTCGAAGCCGAGGAAGAGAGAAGACGCATCCTGCGTAACCAATGGATTCCACTAGAGACTGCAACCCTTGTCAATGTGTACATCGAAATTTTGCAGACTGAGATCGACAAATTCATAGATACCGTACAGCTTCTCCAAGACTACTACACGTCAATGTCGCAGAAAGCTCTGCAAGAATCGCGTTTCTCCAAGATCCTCCTCGATCGCGTGCAACTGGAGCACAGTCTTCGAGAAGTATCAAACGCGGAGACGATCGACAACAAGGGAAAGATAACGGCATCGAAGGATGACTCGGTCAAAGCTCTCACTCGTACGGAAAATATCGAGCATTTCAAAACCGACATCGAGAGTCTGCTGATCGACGTGTCGAAGACCTTCGACCCCGAACGGAACACTGCGTACGACATCATCAGGGATACTATTCGACAAGTGAGAAGTGCAGTCGACTCCACGTCGTCGACGATCACGGAGACGTTGAGGAAGGAAGAAATGGCCGCGACTCGGAAAGCTCAGTCGAAAAACAAAGATATCGTTTCAACCAACACAACGTTGACCAAGTCGGCGAGGAGAAGCCGCGATTTGGTCGAAGAATGGAGATACGCCGTTCTGTTCGAAATCGATCGTATTCGACGGTGCTTGGACGTGTTGGACGCGGCTGCTCGCTCGGACGTGGCTTTTCTCCTGGACACGATGAGACGGACCTTTCATCGTTTACACGATTACATCGCCGAAAGGTTGATACCGCACGTAAAAAGAAATCAGCCGCAGAAGCTAAAACATAACTAAGATGTGTCATTGAAATAGGGACAGCTAATGTCGTTGCTACCAAAGCAAAACTTATTAACTACCTGAATTTCGCCTATAGCAAAAGGTATTCGCTGTTAGATAACATAAAATAATAGACGAAAAAATATTTTACCAGACATTTGGATTGATGTCTAGTGAAATATGAACAAACCAGGATTTCGTTTGAAGTCTGTTCAAGTGAACAAAATTCTAATTAACCAAACAAAATTTCTGGTTAACCAGAACTTGCAATTGTTCAACTTGAACAGTTACAAGCTATGCAGTACACCGAAAAAAATGTTTGATGTTTGTAATTAAAATTCAATATAATAATATAAAATTCAATATTAAAATTAAAATTCAATATAAAAATAAAATTAAAATTCAATATAATAATATAGAGAAATAACTACTATAAATTATTGTGAGAATTCCATTTTCTCTCTCATAAAATTCTATCATAATATCAGTGATAATAATCTTATATATATGTTACTATTTTCATGTCAGAACAACTAAAAGATATTGATAAGCTATTGATAGGAAAATAAGTATAATTTTAATCAGATCATGCATTTTTTTCTCTCAGTGTAATACTAAAAAAGAGAAAAAAAATTATATAGATACAAACGCGAGCTCCAGAGTGTTAACGACATGGCGGACGTCTTCTGCTTTGCCATCGAAGAGGCCAAGCCAATACAGCAGGAGATGTTGCTCGACGGTGATCGACTCGTCGTGAGACCGAACATTCTGATGTACCCCGACGACTCCGAACAACTCATCGTCCCCGTAGAAGAGACTCCTTCGCCTTTGCGATTCCGAGTGGTTCAACTCGCGCGACTGCTGGACATCTTCCGGCGAGTCGCGCCATACGGAATCATCAATGAGCGCGCCTTGGTTTACATCCTGCAGGATCTGGTGTCCTGCGGCGAAGAGGACTGTTATCCGGCCGCCGTACCGTGCGCCTGGCGACAATTGCGAGCTCCCGACATCGAGACCCTGGTTGAACGATTATTTGGCCCCTGCGAATACATCGAGTGGCGAGAGTTCATCGTGTACGCGATAGATCTACCTGTGCCGTCGCATCAGGACATCCTGAGAGCGCAAGCGGCCTTTAGACAGCAGGATCCCGAGTTACGGGAAGTGATCTCTCGCGACCGGTACCGGTTGACGTCGCTGTGGTTCCTCGAGAGCGTCGAAACATCAGCAAACGTCTTCCACGAGTACGTCTACGGGGATGATGAGACGTTCCTCGATAAGGATGATGAGAGTTATGAGTCTAAGGATATAATGGATACGATATTAGGCGAGGCGGCGCGATTAGGTGTGAGTGCTGCTGTAGATTTGGGTTTGAAGAACGACTTGATAGAGACGAGCAAGGATAATTATAGGTACACGAAAAACTCATAATTATCAATTCGGGAACGCGAAATGAAAGCACGAATGAAGAATTATTCAACAGGAAATCCTTTCAACTTTAAGTCAAAAGATAAATGAATAGTTAATATTAAGTTGGTGCAAAACGTTTGTCGTCAAACAAAATATAAATGATCTAATTTCGAAAGGTTGATAATTTTTACGAGTAAAATAAATAACACTAACTCGATTTTTTTTTATATTTAATGAGAACTTATTTTTCTTTTAAACTTCCTACGAGAATTTGATAGAAAAATGACTAACCTTTTGCAGCAATCTAGTATTTATCAAGAATTCTAATTTAGTTTAAAGTAAATTCATTTTCTGCTTGGACTAATTTTTTAACGCATCAAATATTCCTTAGAAGTGGTTTATTTACATGACAATCTCCAATAAGTTCTAATTCGATTTTCCACTGATCATTCTAATAGCGATACTTTGAGATTGATATTGGCGAAGGAGCTTCTGGGTCACATGTTCTCAGTCGATCGAAATACGGTCAATTACACCGCTATACTGTTGGCGTTCTGCAAGGACGAGGATCCCCGCGAAGGCCTCGGAAAAGCGTTCACTCTTGCTACAGGTAACAGAGTTTGTACCGATACAGCGGAAGGCGAGAAGTACGTCCAAGAGTTGATGAAACGCCGTGCCAGACACCTGCACCTGACACGTCTGCGAAAGGAAGCCATCGAGGTAAACAGCTAAAGAAACTCGTGCTAAAATGTTTGCAAATTTGTACAATTTCGGGTCTACCTATATTGCGTTTATGATAATATCGGTATTCCAGGTAGCGCAAGATATTATAAACAATCTCATGAACAGAGCAGCAAAGGGCGCAGCTATACTTAAGCAAAGGCGATACCGAGAACAAGAGTTACTTCCACAACGTCGAGTGATGATACAACAGCTGAATGGAAATGATGATATAGATCCCGCGAGTCTTTTACCAGTGGAGGTGACACCTGAACATCTAATCTTGGAAGATGTATCGATGATAAATGACGAGCATGAATACGATCCGCCATTAGACCAGCTATTACTGCCCGAAGATTACGCGAATCAGTGGGACGAGAGAGTAATCTACTGGCTGCCACGAGATGTTTGCTTAGTAATCCGTCCTCTACTTTCTTGCGGATTTCTCAGTTGAAAAAAAAACTAATTTTAATGATATCTAATGTACTAGTGTCCCAATTTTGGAAAGAATTACGTACTAATGTGCACGAATTTTGGAAAAATTAATATATGGGAGAAACCCCCCCCCCCCCCCCCCCCT